AAGTGTGTATTATTTAGGTTTAGCTGTGGATGTAGCTGAAGCGCTTGCACAAACTCTTAAAAACTAAAACGAAACTTTTAAAACAAGTGGTACAAACTGCTGAACAATGTAAAACTGACCCAGAACCTGCAGCCAAAAGAAGAAAAAAAAACTAAAGTTTGGATGGACACACTGTGATGAGTAACCAGGTGGATGTCCTGAACTGAACAAGGACACTTGTGACAGAAATGTCTTACGTGTGCTTATGTAATTTCAACTCCTTTGAGCTTTTTCAACAGTACATGAGTTCTCGTGTTCTTCTACATTGGCAGTCTTGCCTGCAGAAGTAAATGATAAGAGTGAGTGATCGAAAAAATTTATATCTGACCCACAGAAAAAAACAACAAAGCTTTGTGCTACCCTAAAGTGAATAATGGCATCTAAAAAAAAAAAAAAAAAAAAAGTCTCACTCCGTCACTGTCTCCACCAGCACTCCAAGGAAATGTCTGGATATTAACAAAAGCTGATAACGTTGAATGCTCACTTTACTAGCTTTCGCAGCTGTTCTGCACTTTCCTTTTTTCAGCTCTCTCTTCTTCTATTATGCCCACGCGATTTCTCAAACCTCCTCTACCAGATTCAGTAAACTGACTTTATGACTAAGCCTCGTGTCTGGTTTCTCAGGCAGACAGCTTCCCGTACACATTATACATTAACATGGCTGACTTAACACCCAGAGCCTCATTAGTTCAATGACCTCGTGTGTTTTCTCATATACTGACAAACAAAATGTGAAGTTAAACCTAACCTATGACCTCGAACAGTGCTGCGTTCAGCTATACATCTTCTAAGCAGTTGTATAACCTGTGAATCTCACCTGAGCTGCAATTAGCAGATGAGGTAAGTGTCTGTGTGTGAGGTTTCTGCTGAGTCTTCATCGAGCCCTGACACCGGGCGGAAATACAGACATTTTATGCTCCTCAAAGGTAAGATTTTCTAGTTAAAGTTATATTCAAATTGTAACACATGATTCATGATTCTGTTACTGGAAGTTTGAATACAATACTTCCTCAGGACTTTCCTTCACTTTACTTCAACAAAGGATGTCCAGATAATTCCCTGAATTTCCTTCTTTTAACAAAAAATAAGAAGACCAAAAAAAAAAAAAAAAACCCAGCTACTATGAGGAAAATGAAACTATTTTGTCTCCTCCTTTCTTTTAGTTTCATTTACTGCAGCCTATAAAAGCAGCCTACGTCCTATTGAGTGCCCGACACAGAAGGAGTTGGGTGAGTCTTTCCAGATCATATGTTTTTGGCAAGAAGTAGTGAAAACTGTTGTTGTTTGTAATAGAATTTGTAAATGTTCCTTGCTCTCGTTAAGGATGTAACATAATGCCGCTTCAAGTTTTGGATACCAGTGAATGAGCACTTTCAGGTCAGATATTGAAATGAGTGAAGATGGAGGAAATGAGGTATGCAGATGACTAGTACAACCTCGCTAATCTGATTTGTTCAGTGTGGTTGACTCTCGAGCCGGTGTGGGAAAATATTTCTGGAAGACCTGAGGGAGCCACACAGCCCCTCATTAAAATTACCTTGTGTGCAATTTCACACATACTATCCCTCCAGGTTTTCCAGGCAGCCTTTCCGTATGCAAAGTCACACCGTTGATAGTTTAGCTTTATCGGGGACTCTGGGTCATTTCTGCTCAGTCATGAATAGGCTTATGACAACTTACGAGACATTACCTTTGACAAAGGTGAGTGGCATGTAGCTCTGATCTGGCATTACTTCTTTAGCTGCCATAATTAGAGATGTCTGTAGTCAAATTTAATGTATTTTTTTTTAATAAGTTTAAAAGAAAAAAATGTTCATGTAAAAGTTTGAAGTGAACACTTTCCATTTCCTCGTGATCGTCTCTCCCACTAAACTTCTAACATGTTTGTGTTTGCTAGGTTTCCTTTTCCTCTCATAGCATCAGTTTCCACAGCAGAAGGAAGGAGTCCAGACTGTGGAGTTCCATCCTCAAGATGATGCCTCACATGGCCCTGTGCAAATTCTGTAAGTAGTTAATAAGCTGCTGTTGTGTAATGCCTTCGTTAAAAGTCTGATGTCTCATTACGAGCGGGAAATACTGATGTTATTTGTCATAGAGTCTCAGTTTGTAAAGTCAGCAGTAATGACAGGAAACTGAAAGTTGGTGGTTGCTTAGCGATGTTTTGGGGATTTTTTTGTTATTGTTCACTTGTAGCTGTTGGAGTCTGACTCTTTGTCTCGTGATGCTTTGAATTCATCACTTGAGCCGATATTTTCTGCCTCCATCAGTCCCCCTGGTTCTCGTTGGGGTGGTGGTTTTTGCTGTGAGCGGGATCATTGGAGACCCCCTGTACGAGTGCCTCCAAGACACAGACTACAGCGAGCTCCTCGACATCGTGGATAAAGGTCTTCCTGCCACAAAGAACCCCCGTCACGTGGCCATCATCGGCGGGGGCATTGCTGGACTGACCGCTGCAAAGTTTTTAGAAGACGCAGGACATAAGGTCATTAAGAGTGAAGGAATAATGACTTCTGCTTGTTCTGTGACAGTGTTCATGTTCTAAGTGAGTGCTGATGATGCCAAACTACACATGCTGTACATACTGAGGTGTTTTGTGTCCCCATGGGCAAAAAGGTGACCATAATAGAAGCCAGTAACCGTATTGGAGGGCGAGTGGAGACCTTCAGGAACAGAAGAGAAGGCTGGTACGCAGAAGTGGGTGCAATGAGGATCCCCAGCTTTCATAAGTGAGTACAGAAACGTGTGGCCTGACCACAGTGACGTGAGAACAGAGAGGGAAGTCATCTATGAAAGGCCTTTTGTTTGATCTAAAAATTAAAAAAAACTTTTTAAAAAACTACAGTTGAAGGTCGAAATACCACTACAGTGCTACGTTATCTGTTTGTACTTTTTTGTCCTCTTGTCCAGCAGGGGAAAGTTTTCAAAAAGTACCGTACTTGAGTATAATTTTCATGGACTTGTGCATTTACATGTCAGAGGGAAATGCTGTACTTTTGACTCATTTAAAAGTGCTAATGAGTTGGGTGGTAAATGGATTCTAGCCTTTAAACTCTCCAGCCCCAATTTAAGGTCTTTACCCAACTTCTGATTTTAATTCAAAGAAAATAAACAAAACAAGACAAAGCAGGTCTGTGCTGTAGAAATATATACATACACACCAGCAAAATTGTGGCTCTAGCAGATTATTAAATTGAAATTTATCCTTAAATTATGCTAAAATTCTTCTTAACGTATTAAAAAAAAGTTAATAAAGGGTTTAGTAACCATGAAGGTTTGAATTTCAGTCTTAATCATGACTAATAACAAAAATGATTGCATTAAAATTTACTTTTAATACTTTAAATAACCAGGTACTTGAGTACTTTAGCTAAAGTAATGTTGGGTCATTCTATCACAAACCATCAAAAATACTTGAACTTACAGTGCCTTAACCTGACCTTATGTGCTCTCCTTTTAAAACTTTCAGTCTCTTGTGTTCTTTCATCTGTTTTTTTTTTTTTTGCTAAAGCAGATTGCCACTGTCAGGGTGCTCTGTAAATAAAGTTGCCTTGCCCGATGAGAGCCAAAAGACTGAACCAAAATAGTTAAGTAAGAAATAAAAAGCCCCAAAAAATAGAACTTTTCACGATGGCTTAATTTTTTTATTCATATTTCAACAGTGAGTATTTGATTGTCCAATGTTACTCTGAATTCTGAATTAATGGCATAATAAAAAAATGACATTTCAGGCTTTTATTTTTAGCTATCGTTCAAACATTGTCATAAATTTCAATGTGCAAAATCTTTTTTTACTGAAAGTGAGTCAGCTGACAGTTTTTTTTGTTGTTGTTGTTTTAAATGTAGGAGAGTGTTTAATATATCAAGCTACAATTTTGCGGAAACAATTTTCAATTTCTATAGTTTATGGTCGAGCAGAAGAACCCTGATGATTTGAGATGGAAAGACTTAAAACAGAACCACTGATCACGTGTAATTAACTTTTATTTACAATTTACAATTTCTACAATTTCTACTTGAAGCTGCTTTAGTAAACATTTGTTAACAATGAACAAAATGACCATATGCNGACAACCATGGCTAGGAGTAGAGACAACTCAAACATGTCTTCTGTGCAGTATCACGTGTTTAATGTCACAATTAATGAAAAAGGAAATATTAGATTCCTTTGATTTTACAAAAAATTTAAACCTAAAATCAACATGTACAACAAGTGTTACCAGCACTAGAAAAAAAGAAAACTGTACATACTATAAACACTTTAATATCTACATTTTTATGACATCTAGTAACACTGTATTTTCACACGACCCTGCAAATCAACTCTTATATTTCATTTATTTTACTGATTAAGTATGTTTAAATGCCTCTCAGTGTCGGTCTTGTCGTCTCTGCTCTGCCTGCAGTTCACCTGAAAACACTCTGAGTTTTTGTCACATGTTGGGTGCAGCTGAGTCACACATGAGGAGCTCACAATTTTTAGGTTTTTTCATGGAGTCCGGTTGATACAAATGGCAAATTGTTAAATGACACATGTCAAATAAAGTGAATATGAATGAAATATCATGACATTAAGCTTAGAATTGGATCATTTTTTCAACACAACAGCATGTAATAGATGAGTAGTTCAAGGGGCGACAGAAAGACGAGAATCCAGTGACTTTTTTCCTGTTTTTACCGTTTCTAGCAGGTAAATGGATCCATTTTGGTAATTTTTTATATATCTTTCAGAGCTGCTGGCAGGATTTAAAGCTCACAGGGTTACAAAACTGTGACTGTATTAGTGTGGTAGTTGAGAATTGTATGTGAGAATATTTTTGTGTTTTTTTATGTGTGTAAAGCGTCTTTGAGTTTCTTAAAAAGCGCTATATAAAACAAACATATTATTATTATTATTTTAAGAATTGTATTGATACTGAATGTGAGCAGCTGATGAAAAAGCGTCACGTCTAACAGATTATTGTCCCACTAACACACATCTACAGCTGCTTGTATCTGGATCAAACAGTCATAACATGCAACACACACAACTTAATATGTGAGGTCGCGGTCATGTGGTCTGTGGTAACGGGCTGTGTTTGTGAAACCTGTTTCTAGTAACCAAATAATTGTGACTGTAAAAGTCTTTACAGTAAACAGCATAATTTGACATTTAAGATTGTAGAAGAGCTGCAACAATTAATCGGGTTAAAGTAATCACCACAGGTTTTGGTCAGTGATTAATCAGTCAAAATCCTCAGACTTCAGCTTCTTAAAAGAGAATATTTCCTTGTTTTTTTTCCTTCTCTATGACAATAAACTGAATATCTTTGAGTTGTGGACAAAATAAGACATCTGTCATCTTGGACTTTGGGAGACACTGATGGACATTTTTCACTATTTTCAACAACTAATCGATTAATCCAGAATATAATTCAAAGATTGATTATGTAAATAATCGACACTTGCAGCCCTGGATTAGAGGCAATATTATAGCATTGCTTGGTCAGTACAGTCATCCTCAAATGTATTCATACCCTCCCATTAAAGAAGGAAAAACACAGCCGTCACTGCAATAAGTTGAAATTTACAGAAGTAATAATAAACAAAAATTTATGAAAATCATGACATTGCTTTTGAATTGTGGTTCAATAGAAATAAAAAAAAATAAATGAATGAATAAATAAAAAAAATCAAACAAGCATGATGGGACCCGTGAACTAACATTTTGTTGAACAACCCTTTGAGCCAATCAAGTGTTTTCTGTAACTCTCAATCAGACTTATGCACCTGTTGACAGGTGTTTGGATTCACTGCTCATCAGCAAAGTGCTCTAATTGGTCTGGGACATTTTTTTGTTTTGTTTTTTTTTGTAATTAATCTTTTCAACCATAATTCAAAAACATTGTTGTATTTCACTAAATTATAATTTAGCAAATTTTTATTTATTATTACTTTTTTCAGTTTCTACTTATTTGAGTGAGTAATGTGAATTTTGCCTTTTCTTTAATGGAAGGGGATGAATACGTTTAAGGCCTGTATGCTGTCCTTGTTTAGACTGTATTTCCATGATTGAAGATTAAGTTTTTAAAAATAAAATGAATAATCTATTTTGAAACTATCCTGTGGACTCTAATCTTTAAAATAGAACCGTCATGAATGAAATCAAGTCATTCTGATTCACTAATAACATTACAGGTACAATGTGGGGGCACTTGGTTTGGCAGGGGGTTTTATATGAGCTAAACTGGTCCTTTAAAACGATTTCAGATGGTGAACACAGCTGGACAGTGTAGGACACAGAGCAGGTAAAATCATGAAGACACATGAGGGTAAGTGGTTTGGTGGACGAGAATCATTTTTTAGCAGACGACCCCTTCCTGGCATAACACCGGCATGTGGCCTGCCGAGCTAGCCGAGTTAGCACGGTTAGCTCCCATACACACCTGCGCCTGGAACTGCGCTTTCTGCTGCTCGATGGCGATCATGCGCTGCAGCTCCGTCGCCTCTGCTTTCTCCGACACGCTCAAGTTGTCAAAGTTGTCCATGGTTTGCTTCTGAGGCCGCTACAGAGGAGCTGAACAAGCCGGAGTCACGCCGCCGCTGCTGCTGTCGCTGCTGAGGTCACCTTCGCTGCCTCCGCCGCTGAGCGCTGCTGCTGCAAACACCGCAGATCTCCAAAACACTGGAGCCGGAAGACACAGCGGAGCCTGCGCAGTGCGTCATGTGCAGATCTGCGCAGGACGGGAGGCACAAGAAGTGACGCTGCCAAAGACATGATATGTTTAAAAGAAGCTGACTCAGAAGACTTACGGGCACCGCTTTTCACTACATCAACATATTGTGGCCTAGAAATAAAATTCGATTTATTATTATTATTATTATTATTGTTATTATTATTGTTATTGTTGCTGTCGTTACCTACATGAACATATCGTGGCCTAGTAATAAAATTCGATGGTTGTTATTATTATAGTTTATTAATAATAATAATAATAATAANTAATTAACTTTTATTTACAATTTACAATTTCTACAATTTCTACTTGAAGCTGCTTTAGTAAACATTTGTTAACAATGAACAAAATGACCATATGCTGTGATATGATAGACTGGTGACCTGTCCAGGGTGTCCCCTGCCTTCACCCTGAGTCGGCTGGGATAGGCTCCAGCCCCCCATGACCCTACTGAGGATTAAGTGGTGTATAGATGATGGATGGATGGACATCAGGTAAAAGTATAGTACAAGAAATCAGTTAACAAATCCAAAAACAGTCAGGTTGCAAGTCTAGATTTCAAAACTGGCTACAGCTAGAACAACTTTGATGTCGCCACCAAAAAGCTTCTGTACCGTGTTTAGTCCTGACAGCATGTACTACCGGCGGACTGGTAACGTCATGGTTCTCTGAGGTTACACAGTTGCTATAAGGACACACATAAAGTTACCAATTTACTCGTGAAAATAACTTAAGTATTCAGCAAGCTGGTTCCACTTTGATGGAAACCAGAACAGTGTTTAAAAGAGGCTGAATCCTGGACTTACATTGGTTAGATGACCAGAAGCAGGTCTTTATATGAATACTAATGCTGCTAACAGTGATACTCTGTACAGCCCATGTTGTGTTGCTTCCAAAGGTCTAAGCTGCTTTAACTAAATGTTGCTCTACCTATTGTTTAATATGAAGTGTTTATTCCACAGGATTCTGCTTTCCTTTGCATCCAACTTAAAAATTCCCCTGAACCATTTCATCCAAGATGACATCAACACCTACTATTTGGTAAATGGAAAGCTACACAAAACCTACACGGTGGAGAACAACCCCGGTGTGCTCAACTACAGCTTGAACGACAGAGAGAGGGGACAGTCAGCCGCTGAGCTCTTCAGTCAGGCGCTGTGGAAGGTGTGCAGACGTTCCACACAACAAAATAAAAATATTACTTGTGTCCCTGTTACATTTTTTTTTTGGAGGGGATGGGTTTTTTTTAAGCTTTGTGATGTGTGAGCAGGTGAGGGATGACCTGAAGAAAATGGGCTGCAGCGCCATGTTGGACAAATATGACTCCTACACAGTGAAGGTAAGGATTCAGTTATTCTGAGATCGGTGTCACACATGTCACACCGAGCACTTTTTTATTCTGCGAGGAAAAATGGCATGAGTAACGTTTTCCACTCGCCTGCTGACAGGAGTATCTGGTGAAGGAGGGCAACCTGAGTCGAGGCGCTCTGAGGATGATCGGAGACATCCTGAATGAAAACAGCCTCTTCTACACGTCACTGATAGAGATGCTGTACATACAGTCAGACATCAATGACAAGACTGAGTGAGAAATATTTCTTTTTGCTATTGTTTTACGAAACAGTGGGGTGTTGGGAGAGCAGGGAGGAGAACCCGAATGCAAACCAAAATCATCCGGTGGTTTCCTGCTGAAAAACATGAACTTAGAATTATTAATTCCTATAATCAGTTCATAGGTTTTGATATTTTTTTCAAACTAAAATCTGATCCCAGCCTCTTAAATGTGAATATTTTCTGGTTTCTTTCCTTCTTTATGACAATTAAGTGAATATCTTTGGGTTGTGGACAAAAGAAAACATGAGAGGATGTCATCTTAGGCTGTGGAAAACACTTGCGGAAATGTTTTCACAATTTTCTGACATTTTATAGATTAAGCAATTAATCGACAATGAAAAAAATCAGGCAAGCAAAATTAAAAAATAGGACAAGCAGAGATCCAAGAGACAAACAAACAGTGGAAGGCTGGACAGAGACAGAGACAAAGAGTGAGGGCGGGTACATACAGCCACAGTCTGATGAGGAGAGCTGGCAAGCTGATCCGGAAATGAGAAGTGGGTGTGGTAGAGAGGCAAGACTGAGTGACTGAGGACATCTGGTGGGCGGAGAGGATGATAAAACAAATTCAGCTCAGAGCAGAACCGTGACAGAATCATGTCCATCATCACTCAGCCTGTGACCTAGCAGTGGTTCTCAGAGACAGAAGTCAGTGAGCTGTTTAGTAGCCTTACTAGATCAATGGCAATGTTGGTCCAGCAACACAGAGCTATACCTTTGTTTTAAATTTCTGCTCATAGGTAAACTCTCTGACCCACATCTTTCCTGTTTTGGTTCACTTTCACTGCTGTGGTGCTGCTGTTTTCAGCTAACTTTGACTCCACTGCATCCAAGTAACAAAACAAAACAAAAAAAAAGTCATTACAACTTCAAATATCTGCATTTCTTACACTTCCTACTTAGCTTTTTGCAGGACTTACATCTTAGTTACATTGGTAATTTCATTGTATTCAGTGATTTGGTTTTTTTTGGCCACTTGGAGGCAGCAGAGCCACAACTGGAAACACTGCAGCATGATATGACCTGTTCACAAGTTGTGGTGAGAGTGTTCACAAACAACTACCATCCATCAGACGCACAACAACAGTAACGCTGGTTCTTGGTAGTCATTAGTCCAGCCACATGATAAATGTCCAATGCTCTCTGTCGTTTTAGCTCTGTTTTGGCCTCCACCACTCCTACATATATCCTATATTTACCAGCTAGAAGCTAACTTGATGTGTGCGCTGTTTGGTGCTGGGAGGGTAGCGTGTAGTTTATTTAGCACAGCTTGTTTACTGGAAAGAGATGCAGCCTCACATGAGTTTGATGAAACCAAAACTGCAGGTTGTGGGCCACCAAAACCAAACCGTGAAAACCGGGAAGTCTTTATAGGACTGAGGGGACCAGCATCAGGTGACAAATCTCTGTGGGTTTGTCATGATGAACGTCACTTTTCACATTACCCGCAGTCATTTCATTGAAATATAGATAAGTGCAGCTTTGATGATGCATTGTAACATGTTTTTTTTTCAGGTACTTTGAGGTGACAGATGGCTTTGACCACCTCCCCAGAGCTTTCTACCAAGTGTTAAATGCCACCATCCTCCTCAACTCCAAGGTCAAGCTAATAAACCAAACAGGGAGGGGCAACGTGACCGTAACATACCAAGACTTGCATAATTCAAACACCCTGACCAACCTAACAGTGGACTACGCCCTGGTCACTGCCACAGCCAAGGCCGCCCTCTTCATTGACTTCCAGCCCCCTCTGTCTGGGGACAAAATGGAAGCCTTGCGCTCAGTTCATTATGCCAGCTCCACCAAGGTGGTGCTCAGCTTCAGGGAGCGCTTCTGGGAGAAAGAGGGCATCAGTGGAGGGAAGAGCGTCACAGACCGGCCCTCTCGCTTCATCTACTACCCCAGCCACAGCTTCCCCGGTACAGCCGCAGGGGCCCTCCTGGCGTCCTACACCTGCTCCGACGACTCCACCCTCTTCCAGGGGATGAGCGAGGACGAGCTGATGGCTGTGGTCCTGGAGGACTTGGTGAAGATCCACGGAGAGGACATCAGGCCTCTGTGCACAGGGGGGATGGTCAAGAAGTGGGGCTTGGATCCTTACAGTCTCGGAGCCTTCGCCCTGTTCACACCCTACCAGGGACACTACGCCAGAGAACTGTTCCAGAGCGAGGGCCGGGTGCACTTTGCAGGCGAGCACACGGCCACGCCGCACGGGTGGATTGAAACTGCCATGAAGTCTGCACTCAGGGCAGCTAAACATATTAACAGCCTAACAGTATAACTGAATGTGCAGAAAATTAGCTTTTTTTACAGGTTCACTATCACTCCATCAGCATCAACCCGCTCTGATGGGATCGGATATTTTCTTGTTTTTTTGGACATATTTATTGATTTAGTACAAATCCACTGATCTGCAGAACAAAGCTTGTCATAAACTCACATTCTGATCAGATTCCACAAACATGAGCATGATTGTAAACAGAACTGTCCTCATGATCATGATTTGCAGGGTTTTTCTGTTAGTTTTTTTTTTTTGTAATGTCAGCATAGTTTACGTTCCATTCATCAACCAATCAGTTAGTCGGGTAATTATTTCAGTTCTGCGCTGAACGTTTGTAAGACAGGATTGCAAGATAATGGATGTTTTTTTCCAGAGAACTGTTGATGAATCGGAGATCCTGACAGGACGGGGTGTTTACTCTCTTTAAACCAGCAATGTCATTCGTCACTGTATGTTTTTTTTTTTTCATTTCAATGAGACAATAAAATATCTTGCTTTCAATTTTCAGTTTGAGACTAAAAACTCTAAAAGAGAAGCTACGTAGGCGTCCATTAAAAAAACACAGAAGACACATGTAACATGTTTTCATGTGACAGAAGATCAATCGCTGTCTGGGGCCTGTTCCGTAAAGTGGAAAAGTGAGGAATAAAGTCCAACCACTGACAAGAATGAAGCTAACAAATCAGTGGGGGCTCAGCTGGTTCCATCAAGGTCAGTTCATCTAATCAGGCTAATTTGATCTGGGTTCAAGAGGTTGAGATAATTGTGTGTGTGTGTGCTACTCTTAAATTAATTTTTTTGCTGAACATTTTTGGACTTATAGTGAAATAAATTCAAATAATATGGGAGCACACCACAGCGGTATGATGTGGCTTTCCCATCAGGTCTATGCTACAACAACTCTGTGGACGTATTTGAACCATGAAACACACCTTGAAGCACTTAAAAGCACATAAAAGCTCAAATGAAAAAAATGTGCACCATAATTCTGACCATTTTTTGTGGATATTAAGCTACTTCATTAGTATTTATTTATAGTTAATTTTATTAGGATATA